CAGACGCCCGCACAACCGGACGCCAGCGGACAGCGTCTGAAGTGAGGTCTGCTGGGCAGTCGTTGCATGAGGGTCTGTGTGAGACGGTCTATGATTGGCTTTTACAGAGACCGGAAAAAGGCGAGTAATCTGAAAGTGCAATCCTACTTGAGCTAGTCAAGAAACGCGTTCACAAGTGCACTTCATTTTGAGCTAGTCACTACACATCTGGCAAAAGAAGTCCTCGTTACGTCAACGAGAAGATCTGAATTTGGCGAAGGGTGCACAACAAATGGGTTCTCGTCATAAAGGATTTAATCAAAGAGGGCGTCTGCACTTTTCTGATGACTAGATTTGGAAGATATATTTGGTCCATTTACCCTACTTTGGGCCCAGCAACTGACGCGAGATCTACAATCCTCCAGGACTAGGTACATGCCCAATTGCAGTGTTGTGGAATTGGGCTCTCGCCATCGCAAAGTTTTGAGTGAATGTGGATAACTTAATGAAGTTAAATAAATAAATAAATTTATATTTAAGCCCGGAGGACCTCGTCATTGCAGCTGTGGAGAGTAAAAAGTCCGTTTCGTGCTGATGATATATCCGTAGAGGATATCTCATATAGTAGACAAACAGGCGTTGCATTCAAGGCGTAAGCGTTGCATGAACTCGTAAGGGTTTTATGCCTTTCAGACACGGAGCTAGCCATTGGAATGGAGTTGCCTACAACTGACCAGAACCCCAAGCGTGATGATAAAATTATATCCATAATTATCAATTCCCACAACGGTTCAGAGCGAAAGTGAGAGTCAGTGGGGGACAAAAATGGTAATATGAAGGAAATGACAGCTCGTGGGCTCCAAGTCGAGGTTGGGATAGTTATTTTCAGCGGCCGTCTGAAACGAGGAACAAAGGCATTCAGGGGTAGTGACCAAAGAATTATAAAAAGGAGCACGCCGTTCCAGTGAATCACCCGAAAGTGACTGCAAACACACCAACGTATTATTCAGTCAAATAGTCATCGATATGAGCGCAAGCAGTGGATTGGTTATAGCCAAAGCTGTGTCTTAAAATATGCAGATGCCAGGCCTGCGTATAAGTAAAATATTTCCAGCGACCAAGGAAACAAAATGGCATGATTATGTTCGATGCAAAGGCGCAATCTCAATTCACTAAACGGGACTCAGTAAACATAAATTTCTATCGAAACCTCCTTAATCGAAGAGACGGAAAACTTTGAAGCCACTGCAGATGGGTTCCAATTGATCCGAATCAACCAGGTGGTTTAAGAGAGAATATACCATAATATTCGTAAATAGTTTTATGACCTGAATCGCGGGCAGTCCTTCATCAAGAAGAAAGATCATTTGTAACAGAGCACCAAGTTTGCAATAACGAGGCCTCCGGGCCCAAATATACGAAAATCCACGTCGAACGATATCGTGAGACGATTGCTCTGTCTGCCGCATGACATAAACGGCCAACTACCGGTCATGGGCTTGCCGCTTCGGGGCCCAGATAGTCTCCAGCATCGATGTCTACGCACCTTTCTCCATAACGAGCTCTTATCACCGGTGCCAGGCCCGCAAACGGGCAAGTGACTGCCCTCTTATATCTGCCTCTGGAACAGTCAATCACAGGTGCCGTAGACTGCTATTTGCCAAGCAGTTGATCAAGTGACCAGTGAATCACTCTCGCATGACGTTTATTAATTCGCGCCCACAACAAGCCAACAGACAGACCCGCGCGCAAGGCCCGGGCCTGCCAGGAGTCGGAATTTCAGACCACCACTAACTTTCTGTACACAATAAACAGATCCTACGGGTCT